AATTTTATTTCAATAATTCGCTTGCGCTTAGGGGTCTTTAGCTGTGGGGACACGGAGAAAACCCATGAGGTTGGATTAACCAAAATGAAATGGGGAATTAACGTCCTACTGTTCTGCTCCAACTGAGCTAATGAAGTCGACCATACGCCATACCGTGTGCCATGAGGCAAACTTTGCCGGGACAGCGGCGCTACGGCCTACCCTTATATCGAATATCAACTGCCAATGAATCTTTAACGTGCACGCCAATGTATACACGTGCAAGCCAATGTATCTACGTTTTTCGTCCCATCTGAACGACTATACAGCTGTCCTTATCAGGCCCTCCGCCCTGCATCAATGACAAGGGGAAACAGTCATACATCATATAGTGTGCTATTGGGGAAATTTAATTCCCCTTCGAATTCTCTGGCGTATTGGGGGTTGGATGGACGGATGGTTATCGCGTAAGCGTTGTATATATATGGTCTGTCATTGAGTCAACTGGCGTGGTTTCGATTCCCCGATTGTACGTGACAAGAAGTAGGGTCGCCTGTCCAATATCGAGGGTTTTCTCCAGGTCCTCCGGTTTCCTCCTACTGCTAAAGACCCCCTACGCGAAAGCGAATTGTTGAAATAAAATTGAACCATATGTTAGTCCCAAAATGACCTAGTTTGTTTAGAGTGGGCGTTAAACCACATCTCTCTCTCTCTCTCTCTCAGCTCTCTCTCTCCCTCTCTCATCAAATGACCAAGGAACACGTGTGAAATCCCATGGGTTCGCGTGGATAAAATAAATTTTAAACTATGTGGATGATCCGCTCAGGCTGTTAAAGTACATACGGGTTCTAATTCTCTATTACACCCGTTTCATTTAGAAGTGCCTGTTCAATTTATGACTGGTTAACCTGATCTATAACTTTGTTATCCAGTAACCCAGCGAAACTACTTCAATGAACTGTTTAATGGTTTGTTTATGGGGCTGAGAGGTCTGTGTTTTTACCCCTTTTTAGGGGTTACTTCTTCATATGTAAATAATATTAATCAAATCGTTGTGTCTATGACATCATGTTTGGAGTGTAGGACCTTCACATTTTAATAAACAACATGTACTGTGTATCGACAAACATTTAAGTCTTAGAGAGAGAGGGGGGGGGGGGGTCACTCGACCCAAACTAGGTCATTTCGGGACTAAAGTTTTAAAGGAACCAATTTAAGTCTCTAACTCAATTTTAATGTCTAATTAACAATCTATATAACATTTAACCTTTGTTAAAGTCTTGAGTATCCGATGCCATCGAGAGTTGATTATGGTCTTGTTTTGTTAATAATTGTCTAATTAATAGTTTATATAACATTTAAGGTCTGAAGAAAGACCTGCAATAGGCAGATTTAGATCTTATATGGCTATTTTCACGAACGTACAAATAACGGTAAAGACAAATTTGGAAAAGTAATTATGAATTTTTAAAGAAAATTTCACTGTATTCTATAGATTCATAACTCAAGAGGAAGTTTATGCAATAGCCATGGGGGGGGGGGGGGTAACTTAACAAAACCAACATTTGTAGGAATGTCTTTTCAGTTATTATCATTTAAACGACCATGTTAACAGTAAAGACATAACGGAAAAGACAAAAATTCAAAGTCATTAATGTGACCCCAGTTTTCTTAATAAATGTTTGAATACCATTAAAGCATAAATAAGCGATTACGCAATATAATTTTAACAAAACCCCCTTTGTTTGGTCTATCCCGATATATAAGAAGTTTTTTCCGTTATCATATTTATAAGGAAAAGACATACCATGACTAACTGCACTCATTCACAGTGTATAGACATGCATGATATTAAAGATACATTATACAAGATTTAGATAAAGAGCTGACCATTCTTCCTATAATAGCTCAAAAATAGATAATGCAAAATGAAAATATTGAAAATTTCATTCAAATTACTTCATTCTGAGCCAAGTTATCGCTGTTTGTAGTTTTGACAAGATGTGTGCATTGTGGTAACGGGCACTGGTATATTCGAGACTTACCCTCGTTTTCCCATCGAGAGTTGATTATGGTCTTGTTTTGTTAATAAATGTCTAATTAATAATTTATATAACATTTCAGGCCTAAAGAAAAACCTGCAATAGGCAGATTTAGCTCTTGCATGATGTATGTTTAACAGGGTGATTTGACAACCTTATTCCCTTTTTTTTTCAATCTGATTAAATTACAGATCTATATTTCGTTTTTATACTTTCGATGGCCTTCACCAGTTATATTAGTAGGTCGCGTCAGGGGTCGTGCGAGCGGCTTTTGACGTATGACGTCAGACATTGATTAATCAATAGCGTTGACGTTTCTAATGGTTTACCCACAGTTCCGTGCATTGCACGCCAAGAAGTCGTCGTAACAGATGGATTCATTGGCTAATCCCTCCCATCACCCAGAACGCGGAGAGACAAACAAAACGAAATTTTGAACTATAAAAAATGAAACGAAATAGGATCAGTGATTTTATCAGATTGCTGTTTTATGTCTTGGAACAGACAAATAGAAGAGACAATTTGTGCTACAACCTTGTGCGGTCCACTTATTCCTTTCTATAAACTTTTTCTTTCTATTATGTGTGATTTTCGTGCTTGTCCATAACCCTTTGATTTAATAGTGACACCTACGTGTAGTGACAAACTTGATAATGTGGCATGTGGTTAATTCGCTAACAAAGCATTAACGGAAAAGACAAATTATTCTCAAAATTTCGGCAGAAACAATATTTGATAATGCGCGAGAAATATCGTTTTTTTTTAGTATAATTACGTTTCTATAATTATTAAAGGGGCAATAACACTCTTGCTGGCTTGACAGCTCCAGAAAATAAAAAATAGCCTTATTCTAAGCAGTAGATGTGTTAGTGTCCTACCTGTTGTGTAAATTATCCATTAAATCCTATTTTACTTGTCCAGAGGGTTCAAAATTTTGTTTAAATCCAAGTCACATTTGAAAAGCTTTACGCCAGGCTTTTCAAATCATTTAGTTGAATTTTTCCAATTTTTTAAATTAGGTGTGTTAAGATGAAATTTGTATGATCAATTAAATGGAATATTGTAAAATAGTACAATTTGTTGACCAGAATAAAGATTGGGACATATTATTCAGTTACAACAAGAGTTGTATTGAGCCTTTAAACAGGCACTATTGGAATGAAACGAGGTTTAACGTCTTACTCCGACTGGGCTAATGAAGACGGGCATACGCCATACAGTGTACCGTGGGGGAAAATTTGCCCGGACTTGACTCAATGAAAGACCCTATGAACGCGCACAGGTCAACCATTCCAGGGCCCTGTTTCTCGAAATCTTAACTAAAGATAAAGTCCAAATTTTAGTAGATACTACAATTTTGATTGGCTAAGCACTAAAATCAATTTAATATTATCCAATCAAATTATTAAAATTTGGATTTTATCTTAGTTAAAATTTCGTGAAACCGGCCCCAGGATTGTAGGTTAGGGCTAGGTAAGGCTTTGGGCTAGATCTTGGTTAGGGTTAGTGTTAGCCTTGTTCACATTTCGTGAGGAAATCTGCAGGTGGCCTTGTTAAATAGATCTAATCGAAGATGATTGGTTGTTTTATTGAAATAAGATTTTATGTCGCAATTCTTATTAGTCCCCGACTGTAGGGTGAGTCTGTCGTTCAGATTGTCCCCGACTCACACATATATAGCTCGAAATTTCTAAACCCCAATCGAACATCTCCAGGCTATATAAGATATAAAATGGAATGGGGTTTAACTTCCTACTTATCCGCACCAAACGCGCTAATGAAATGAAATGAAATGGGGTTTAACGTCCTACTGTTCTGCTCCTATACTGGGCTAATGAAGACGGGCATACGCCATACAGTGTGCTATGAGGGAAATTTTGCCCGGGCAGCGGCACTATCGCCTACTCTTATATCGAATTCCAACTGCCGGGGGATCTTTTACGTGCATTCTAATATATACACGGGACCTCGGTTTTTCGTCTCATCCGAAGGACTAGACAGCTGTCCTTGTCAGGCCCTCCGAAACGCGCTAATGAAGACGCGGGGAAAAATGGTTAATATCGTCGCCGTGATAAGGTTAAAAACGCCAAGAAACATTTGAAATTAACAAAAATAAAATTCGTTTATTAAATCCCAATCATTGATTAGTCAGTAGTAATTATTCGATCTGTCGATGAAACATACATTGTCTAGATCACGCACGTCCATCAAACGTCATATTAAACTGTCTATATTGAAATATGGTCACGACGAGCGTGATCCTACGGTCGGGATATTTATTTACAAGTCGTCTGAGACTGTCCGATTCCCCTCTTGTACGTGACAAGGAGTATGGTTGCCTGTTCAACCTCGTGGGTTTTCTCCCGGTCCTCCGGTTTCCCCCCACTGCTAAAGACCCCTACGCGCAAGCGAATTATTGAAATAAAATCAAACCATATGTTAGTCCCGAAATGACCTAGTTTGTGTCGAGTGGACGTTAAACCCCATCTCTCTCTCTCTCTCTCTCTCTCTCTCTCCCCCCTCTCTCTCTCTCAGACTGTCTCAAACAACTGTCGTCTAAAACGGGTTATTGAATAAGAATAATTGACGGCGAAAGATTTGGGAGTTTTGAAAGACGAGATCAATTGATCAATCAATTGACAAGAAGCTCAAAGGTATAAGACAATAAAATGTCTAAAAATGTCAAATTTACCTAATATCTGTTAGATTTATCTGGGATACAAACTAGAATTTAGATGTAATAATATCATATGATCACGTAATAGACTTCGATCATTGCGTCTCCTTGCGTCTCCTTGTCGTACCCCTGTCTGTAAACGTAAAGGTAACTAAAAGATTTTGTTGAAATAACTTAGAAGATGTAGTACATTAGCCACATGTCGAGGCCTATCTCCACATGTGTATTCAGTAATCGTATCTACGTAACGAACGAGAGACGACTATTGTTAGTCTAAACTTCCTCGTTGCCGATCACGTTTGACTAACAAAAACGATAAAGACAAGCGAACCCTTGAAACTGTTTAACCGATAGACTGTCGCATTCGTCTAACTTGTCCGATACACTTCACCAGTTAAACAACGAGACGACGACATCTTCACTGAGCTTTTACTTGTCAACATTCGACATAAAAACGTCATCATGTTTTGAATGCGTGCAGTTGGATACAACTAAGAATACTTGCAGCATTAATATTTAAATAAGTGAATTAAAATTATTAATATTAAAATATCATCATGTCGTATGTGAATGAGTGTAAAGGTAGAAGTAAATTATTGGAAGGATACCTAGAACAAAAATCTCAGGTAAGTCGAGATTTATTCCAGGTGGGTTTTATTGGGGTCATATCATTGATGTGAGTTTCCCCAGTTGTAAACAAATCATTAACATGTAACTGTATTTAAATATTTGATATTTGTGGAAGAGAGATAGTGAGACGGAGAGAGAGAGAGAGAGAGAGAGAGAGAGAGATAGGAATCCGAACCAACTGGGCATATTATGTATAATATAATAATTTGTACATATTTATATTTTATTGATCTTTAACTGGCTTTTTTTTGATTTTCACGTCACCCCCTTTCATTCAGAGTATATTTCGTACTTATATTTTCTTAATCTTTAATTTGCTTTGTTTTTCATTCATCTACTTTATTTTTTCTGTGTTTTCTGCATGTATGTGATTTGTCCATTAGCTCAGTAGGTACTAGGACGTTAAACCCCATTTCATGAGCCCAGTAGACGCTAGGACGTTAAACCCCATTTCATTTGTTTATCTACGTGAGGGAAAATATAAGAAACCCCATATAAAGCCAAAATAAACACTCGGGCAACATAAAAATATTATATTTATCACCATGTTTCATTAAAGTACACCTTTTATTATTAAAGGACAATATTGGTGCCAGTCATTATCACATATGTGAAAGAGCTGGTTAAACACATTCCAAATATAATTTTACCACAGAGATCATTGCTACGATAGCTGAGTAATACAATTCAATAAAGTAATTGAATGTCATTAGATAAGAGAACACGAGAAAAATAGAAATAGTCCGTACATTCCCTTGTTTATATTCATTCTATATCTTATAAAAACATGGTAATGCACGGACTTTTTCTGTTTTTCTTTCGTGTTCTCTTATCTAATGACATTCAATTACTTTATTGAATTGTATTACTCAGTTATATAGAGGTATGACTCGTGTTTTCCTTTGGCGTTCGTGCCTTCCGATTCAGGAAACCTGTATTACTCAGCTATCGTAGCAATGATCTCTGTGTTAAAATTATATTTGGAACGCGTTTAATTAGCTCTATCCAATATGTGATAATGACTGGCACCAATATTGTCCTTTAATGTGGGGCTTGACGTCAGTGTTACAGTATTGCATAATACACTTTAAATACACCAGTGAAAGTGGGGTTTTACGTTTTGGTCTGTTGGGTTTTCCTTGTTTCTGGGTATCTCACTTTTAGTGATGCGTAATAAGAATCACCGAAAGGACGAGGATGTAGGGAGATACACAGCCGCCCACTGTTGATTGTGGAGGTAAATATACAGTCGGACAGTCGTATGTACTGACAGACATTCACATGAAAAGAGTTGGTCAGGACCGCCCCCTTTGTTCCTCCAAATCTGAGGCCAAATTGGCCCTGCCTAAAGATTTCTTCATATATAGGGTATAAGGAAGATGCTATTACTTTGTATTAAATAAATCTAGATGTGAACTTGTTAAAACTAAACTGTTCGTTTGAAAACCTTTTCCTTGCCTTTCGCTGGACGAAGCCTTCGCCGCGAAGACTTATAGTGCTGGGCCGCCTTGAGTCAATTTGGTTCAATATAGAACTAATGCCTGTAATCTAACAGAACATTTGGGGTATAGATGATAATTAATGTTCCTAACTACCTTCGTCCACCCAACAAACTGGCCGCTTTTAACAGGTCATATGTAAATGTGGGTGGGAGGACTCACGTGACACCAGGTGTTCCAAATAGAGTAATCATACCCTGTCTCGTGCACAGCAAAAGCTATATTATGGAACAGCTCCAAGAACAGCTCGGCTTCTGTAATCCAAGTACAAACTGTCACTGTATTGGGTTATAAGTAGATAAAGCTGATAATATGTTGATTTGAACAACTGGTACCACTTCTCTGTATTGAGCTGTAAGTAGATAGATATATATGCTGATTTGAACAGCTGATATCACATCTAAGCTGATTGAAAAGTTCACACATTTTAATTATTTTGTGGGGTGGGATTGCTTGTTTATTCTTGTTGTTTTATTTTGTTCTTTTATGTGTGGTGGGATATTCTTTCATATATAAAAATAACCACACTTTAATAATAAAGAAAATATCCATGTGTGTAAAATAGCTTTATTTAATGTCCGCTTCCACCGAGGTGATATCGCAGACAATTACATGTTATATATACATCGTGAGATCATTTACAATGTGTTTAGCGAAAAAGAAATAAAGGGATTATTAAAAATATTTCTATGTGTACAGAAAGAAGGATAAATGACAGGACGAGACATTATATAACAAGTGGAATAGTGACAAACATAGACATACATTGTACAGTACAACACGAACATTTCACAAAGCAAATTAGCTCTGATAAAGTATATCTCATATAGTGGGACTGGTTTACGTCATAAGAAGGTATTAATTGATACTAGAGTTTAACATGACCGTGTAAATAATAGGCATGTTATATAGTCTGAATTATCTCTGACATCAATCAAACCATGAATATGATTCACATAAATTGAAACCCACTAATTTACATTCGTATGGAATAAAAACCCTAAATAATACACCACGGAAAACACAAAACAATTTATAAAACTGAAATGAAATGGGATTTAACGTTCTGCTCCGACTGGGCTAATGGAGACGGCCATACGAAATGAACTGGGGTTTAACGTCTTACTGTTCTGCTCCGACTGGGCTAATGGGGACGAGCATTCGAAATGAAATGAAAAGAAATGGGGTTTAACGTGTTACTGGTCTGCCCCGACTGGGCTAATGAAGACGGGTATACGCCAAACAGTAACAATTAATGTTCTGTGAGAGAAATTTTTCACAGACAGCGGCGTTACGGCCTACTCTTAAATCGAATTCGAACTGTCAAGGGATCATTTACGTGTACGTCAATGTGTACACGGGGCCATGGTTTTCCATCCTATCTGAACGACTATACACTGTCACTTGCCAGATCCTCTGTCTTGAACCACTGACAAGAGGCAACCACGCCGGAAAATACCGATGAACTTTCATGACCAACGCAGGATTGATCACAGGACCTCCTGGTTAGCGAGCCAACAACAGTTGTCTGTCCTCACGTATATCATTAATTTCCGTCCTAGTCCGGACGTTTTCCCGTATGCAAATGAGATTCGTCGGAGACGTCATAGGGTATATGTTCTAATAATGCTAAGTTCCATTATGCATTTGTCTATTATGCAAAATGCAGAATGGAGAAGTATAATGTGTAAAATAACTATTATACTGTATTTTGTATTATTGAAAAGTGTATTCTGTATTTTAACACTGACATTGACATTATGAAGCAATGGAAATTGTAAATTGTAAAACTAAAATACGTATTTTGAACTGCTGACATAATATGCAGTTTGCACAGTGAACATTGAAATAATATTGGCAACGTTATTCTGCCATACATTGAGCCCGTACATCGATGTTAGTTGGTGATATTTCACCTTGAACTAGAGCAACAAGTTACGTATATCTATTATAACTATAGACGAATTCAGGGATATTTAATCCGATTAGTGAAATAATATTATTACATATCTGAACTCCTATCACATCCAATAAAAAGGTGAAAGGATTCATGAATAGGTATTCCCGACGGCCATTCAGCATTCATCCATAGTATGGTAATCTTTCATAAATGAGAGAGAGAGAGAGAGAAGAGAGAGAGAGAGAGAGAGAGAGAGAGAGAGAGATCTAAGCACTGCATTAGCCTAGTCGGAGCACCACAGTAGGACGTTAAACCCCATTTTATTTATATCCTGAATGCGATAGGCCAACCTGTTAACATCCCGAATATCTTATCGTACTGTATTACCACATCATTATATATAAACATCCTGGATAAAATATATCATCCAATCATTGCCGAGAAATTGTTCGAGTTAGATAACAACAGAACATTCCTATTGATAAAAATCATCTAACCTACATTTTTATATGATTTGATTAGCGCTAATTAACAGTCCAATTCTTTAGATCCCACGGTTGTTGAAGAATAAATAATTTTATTTTTATTTAATTTGTTTAAACAATAGAACATGCTCTAAGATATCATCTTTATCATAGATATCTAATGTCAACAGCCTTCAACTAAAGAAGTCATGTTTGGGTTTTTGTATTAACTTTAAAGTAGTCAAGTCTCTAACTCAATATCATCCAAAATCTTCGACGTTGAAAACACGATTTATTTGCCAGTTTAAATTAACATTGATGTTGTGATCTTACCGGGAAAAGATGGCCTTCTGATATCCAATATTTAAGACACAATAAACATTTTACAATCGGTACACGAATCGTGTACCATAATGCGTTTCAGCGCTATTTGTAATAAGGAACTCGAAAAACGAGGCTAGGCATATTCTACAAGTCATGTCAAACGGTAACGCTATATTCTTATCTGGAGAGCACGCCTAATAAATACTATCGGCGTAGACTGGAATAACCAGACGCTAGAGATTGAAATTCGATTGAGAATACTGGCGTATTTCGCTGAACCTAATAGAAATTACAGTAAAAACAGAAACGATTGAATGTAAATCAATTTATATACATTCATATTACATTATTGTATGCTTTGCGACCCATTTGTGTCAATTTCTAGGTCCCAAATATTAGCGATTTAGCTCCTTTAACTCAACATATTTTCCTTATATCCGTATCTATATAATAAATTTAAAGAAAATAAAAAAATAATCTCTCACAAAGTTTGGTTTGTATAAAATCACTGAACCTAAAGAACTCAATTAACATACAATATATATGTACGTCATTGCATCTATATCTCGTTCCGTGTTCTTTCAAATATTATGATTTATATGAATTAAATTGTAGATACTATAATTTGATTCATGATTTAAGTGCAAAGTTTTACTTGGTGACTATTTTTTATATTAAAACTGGGAGCAGAAATACACAATAAATCTCCTAGATATTAAAGATACATTATGTAAGATTTAGATAAAGAGCTGGCCATTCTTGTTATAATAGTTCGAAAATAGATATTGTAAAATTTATAATTTGAAAAT